GTTTTTTTTTATGCGCACAGTACAAAATTTTAATTTCTAGCGATATTTGAAAGCCAAAAAGTCAAAAACCTCCGTGGATATACGATTCACCCAAATATGGACTCTTTGAAATAGATACAGTCTGGACTATAAACTAACTGCTCTCAAAAGTTCCTCGCATCTTGGTATCACAATGAGAAACCATAATGCAAGGCAACCAACTGAAATAACGATCTAGGTTACTACTTTGCAACACTGACTAAACTTTGATATAACTAGGAACAGAGTTTAGGGTGCCGCAAAAGTTAGTAAAGTTAGTTAATCTACTTCATTATACAGACGTAGTATAGTAAAATAGCGACAAAGTGCATACGTAATTGTTGTCTGAAAGTTGAGGTTAACGATATTCTAGAGAAACCGCATTTCAATTTTGTTGTTAGAATTACTAATAGAAATATAATTGAAAATGTATATCTTCTATTAAATCAATAAATTTAACGACGCTATTCTCTATTTACTAAGACGACAAATTAATTACATTGCTATGGGAAAGCTGTGACGAACGCATTGTATTATTTGCTCGTAAATAATCGAGATGTACTTTCATGGAAGTTGACCCAGAAACGTCAGAATGGGAAGTGAGGAGGGCGCCTTCGAACGGCTTTTGGGGATATTCCAAGGACTCGAGACTAAAGGATTAAGCCCTATCCCACTGAATTATATTCATTGAAAATAAACGACATTTTGACATATACAACGTTTTCCCGAAATCAATTTTTCCATGTGTATTTCTCAAAGCATTAACTGCGTTCCAGTTTGGTTAAATTTATTTCATAATATTTATAGGTATCAAATTTTTAAATCCAAAATTTACATTTATTATCCCGTAATAATGAGTATGTGTCGATGAAAATGAGCACCAATTGAATCTTCTCTTTTTACGGGAAATTTAACAATTTTAAGACAAAACCCATTTTTTTTCAAGAATTAACATTATTCAGATATGCAGTTGTCTTCCTTAAATATATTCTCCGTACGTGCTCTCTGATGCTAGGAATAAAATGTTTTAAGATAATATGATGATAATATAGAATTATAGACCTGTATCTATGCCTAACAGTCTATCAAAAATTTTTGAATATGCGTATTTGGACAGACTATTCAAATTTTTGGTAAAAAATAATATACTCTCGGAGCATCAACATGGGTTTCAACCGCTAAAATCGACAAATACAGCTATGTTTGCTTTTTTCAATCAAATAATTGAATTTTTTGACGCAGGAGACAGTCCAGTTGCAATACTATGTGATTTGAGCCGAGCCTTCGATTGCGTCAACCATAATAAATTGTTTAGCATTCTTGAAAACTATGGAGTTAGAGGAATTACTTTAAACTGGTTAAAATCATTTTTGTGTGACCGTCATCAATTTGTGTCTTTGCCTATAAAAAACAATAATCAGAAGTCTCATTTTAAATCAAGAACTTTAAATGTTGACATTGGAGTCCCACAAGGATCTATCCTGGGCCCAGTACTATTTATCTTATATATTAATGAAATTAATTCTGCTGTAAAGGGATGTCATCTTACTGTCTACGCGGATGACGTAGCCATGGTAATTTCTGACAAGAATCATGACGTTTTGATGCGAAGATGTTCTGATGCTTTAAATAATATTGTGAGCTATCTTAATAGTTATAACCTCTTTTTTAATGCCGAGAAAACTAATTTATTACAAATTCATAATTATCAAAAAAAGTAGAGAATATTACGGTTAAAATTAATGATAGTTTTTTGTCTCCTTCGCATGGCGCAATACGATTTTTGGGTCTTTATATCGACGAAAATTTGCATTGGAGGCACCACTGCGATAAGTTAATTAGTAGCTTAAATAAATTAAATTTTCTTTTTATAAATTTACGGACGGTATTATCACAACATCAACTTTTAAATATATATTTTGCAAAAGTTGATTCAATTTTAAGGTACGGTATATGTTTCTGGGCTGGTTCGACTTCTAATCATACTGTATTTATTTCACAAAAAAGAGTTATTAGAGCTAGTGCCAGAATATCTTCTATGAAATCATGTAGACCTTTTTTTTAGGAAATATGGAATTTTGACGTTAACAACATTGTATATTTATGAATTATGTATATATGTATTTAACAATGTGCGCTCATTTTTATTAAATGAAGATATTCATAGTTATAATACACGTCGTAAACATGACTTTTACATTTCATCAGTAAAGTTTAATGTAACCAAAAAATCTCCAAATTACATCGGACTACAAATATTTAATCGTCTTCCAGATCATTTAAAATCGTTACAAAATATTAAAAAGTTCAAAAAGAAATTAAAAATTTATCTGATAGATAAGTCTTTTTATTCACTGTCAGAGTACATGTAATTTTATGTGACTATGTGCATCAATGTCTGAAATGTTCCGATCTGTTAATATTTTATTATGTAGAAACCTACTTTATAAATAAGTTTGATTGTTTTTATTTTTATCTATATACATATTACAGTATATTTTTAATGCGTATATGTTTGCTCTCTGAATACAGTTAAACCTGTAATCTCTTTTAATTGACTATTCCTANATTATTATTAATTATTATTATTATTATATCATATGTCTTACATATTAATGATTTTTTTTTTAAAGCAAGACCCTATAACCTTTAAACGAAGCATTTTTGGACTAAATTAAGTTGACCTAAATTGATGTATATATGATCACTGTTTTGTAGATCACCTTGTATAAAACTGTTCCACAAATAGCGATTATCGTGAGAATCACACAAAAATATGATGTAATTTCTCTATACATCCAAAATGTAACCATACATCATAAAATTATTTTTACTGCTGTAAACAATTGACATCATCTTTGAACTATTGCTATTTTACACCGCTGGACTATTTGCCTTAAAGGAAATCTACAGGATGTCCTGATTTATAGATATAAATAAGTGAGGTTCAAATATGTTTTTTTAAATCCCTAAGAACGCGTTTAGTATTACAACTTCCTTAAAACTGTAAATCTTAAATTTATTACTTTTTTTAAAGTTCAATTAAAAAAAATGTATGTATTTTTTTTAACCGAAATCTATACCCCACGAAATGCCTCTGTGTTAACATATAGGGATATCTAAACATTTCTAAATTGATACTGTCTGAATTATTTATTTGTTGCATCGTTTTGGTTTTTTGTTTATTTGTTGGATATTTTGAAAACTGAAAAAAAATTTCAAAAAATACTGACTTGCGACAAAAGGGTAATTTTTAATGAAACTAGTTTTGCCTAGCCACAAAATCTGACAGTAACCAAAAATAGAAAAATACCAAATGAACTGTGAGATTTTAGGTTAGGTCAAACCTATTTTCAAGTAACGCTTGACTGATTCTTTTGGCACGAGGGTGTATTTCATTATTTTTTTAACTGCATAAATGTCACAAAATACTTGTCATTACTCAATACGAACGTCAAACGTATAACTTTTGTGCTTACAAAATGTTTTCTCATTCAGAAAAAGTTGATATGTTGATAATTTACGGTGAGTCACAAAAAAATTCAAGAAGATCTGCAGAGTTATATCGAGAAAGGTACCCAGAGCGCCCCATTACTGATCATAGAACCTTTACAAGATTGGAGGCGACGAAATGAAAATGCATTTTTTGTTCGGAAAAATCAAATAATTGACCGAAGGGTAAGAAACAATATTAATACAGCTAGACTGTTACAGTACCTCGACTAAAATCCACGAAATTCTATGCGGCATGCTAGTTTGGAATTGACTTATTTTTTAAGTGTAATTATTGTTATCATCACCTTTTGTTTTAACTGTATTAAAGAATTATCGAGTTTAATCCTTTTATTTATTCTTAACGACATTTATGCACTTTAAACAACGAACATTCAATTATTTTCCAACGACTGATTACTTGATCCTTTCACCGCTAACGTGATTTTTAGGTGGTATTTCTTTTGAGACTCTTTAGAGCGATACTAAATCATAAAATGGACTGCCCCCAATTACTTGAGCTGCTCAGATTCCATGTTCCCTTAACGGCAACCCGACATAATAGTTTATTTTATCTACTCACCCCGCGTACCAATGTATTAAAATTTTCGCCATTATATTTCATGTGTAACAACTGTAACAACTTACAGAACAGAGTTGATATTTTCAATTGTTCTTATAATTCATTGAAAAAAGTATTTTTGTAGCTTGTCAGTTTTAATTTGTAGTTTTGTGTTCAGGAAATGTGAATTTATATATTGTATTCATTTTGACTAGTTTTTTTTTCTTTTATGTATTTATGTGTTTTATATGTGTTTATATATGTATATGAGTATATGTATATGTTTTGTCTTATTTTGTATCTTGTTTCTTGGTACATTTGTTGTTCATGTAATTATGTTTGTTTTTTCCCATCCTATAAATTGTTTCAGTACTGTTGGTAACTTTTAAACGGGAAGTAATACAGAAAAATTTCCCTGAAAAAATATAATCGATGACGTCATTAGTCGTTTCTGTCAAATCCCAAAGATAATACTTTCGATTGAAAACGGAGCTTACCTCATCCCATTTAACAACACGTGTCCCAAATTTTATTTAAATTTTTTGTATTATTATGGTAGTAGGCCCATACTATCGACTTTGAGACACCCTGTATAGACCCTTTAGAAACACCCCGTATTTCAAAAATATACAGCTAAAAAAAGGGTTAAGCATTTCTAATTATGAGGAAGTTATAGTTCACAAATGTGGGCATTTTTAGATTGTAACTAATATTTTGAAAATATATTTTTTTATTTATTATATTGGCGGCTTGTACACTATAAATCTGTCCATGCTGTACGTCGCACTCCACAGATGCCAAGACAGACTCAACACGCGTAATCAAATGAATAACTTATCTATAAATTACCCTGGACATTCCGATACAAACTACGCAGAAGACATACACACGCAGAGAACACCAACTAAACTACGATCTACTTATTTACTTTGGCGAAATTGACGCAGAACATGTCATAGCAGGAGAGCGTCATCTGGAACGTCTTCGCGGGATATCCTAGCACCAAGAACTAACTGGCGATCCCCCTCGATCAGCACGTCACCAGAACCACCGCACCGATCGCGATATATCCCCTTCGGACGGCGGAACGGAACACACCCCTTTCTCGAGACGACGGATGCTAGATAGGCGCGACGCCGACGGAGACGGCGGCCTTCACGACGCCGACTGATGCATCTCTCGCGGCGGGCGTCGCCGATCGGGCTCTCCGGCTGGAACTGAGCGGGCGCTGCCGAGGAGCCGCTAAAAGCGAAAGCGCCTGCCGCCGCCTTGTACCGGGAGCGATCGTTAGTTTCGGGACGCCCGGCACAGGAATAAACGCCGCTTCCGCATTCCCCATCGCCCCGAGGACCGGCCTCCGAGGTGTCGATTTTATTAGGCGGCCGCTGGCGCCCAAAGAGAAGGCTGAGGCTTCGTCGAAAATGTACAGTGTGGACCGATTTAGTAAGGCCAAAAAATGTTGCTTAGCTTAAAATTCAATATGGCGCCCAAAAGAAACAAGAAAGTTGATGATGGTTTCTCGCAACCGAAACGTCGCAATGAAAATCCAAATATACCGTGAAATTCCTCGAAAAAACTTGCTGTGAAAAAGTGTTGTCAAATTTTAAAAGTTCCTCTAAATATAAAAGTTATAGACAATTTTTGAAGACTCAACATTTACTTTTTTTTTCAAAAACTCAAAAAGCTGAAGAGCTAGAACCGATCTGCAAACGCTATTACGTTAGCAAAAGAACTGTCTAAAACTTTCCCCATTTACCATGTTCCTATCTCCAGGTATCTTCCAAGATACCAATACATGTATCACCAAAATGGTCCACACTGTATGGATGTTGGTAGAAGAGTGCCTCAGGGTCCATATTAGGCTCAATCATATTTCATATTTATTTAGAAAAAAAATGGTAAAGAACAAAATTGTAGCATATGTATAGAGTTAGATCAAGTCTGTTACTGATTTTGTACAAGATACATACTTTCAATATTTACATATATTTCTTACTGGCATAAATCATGTGTAAATTTATCTATCTATCTATCTACCAAAATAAAATTTGTTAGTCAAATCCACATCTGTGTCCATTTTTAAAAATAAACCATGAGACTTTTGACTTAAATCAAAATGTACGTAATAAAAGCAATCGACCAAGTAAAAGATTTCACATTCCTTTCTGTAAATATAAAATATCTTTTGATTCGCCATTTCATTCATGTTTCAAAGCTTTTAATTAACTGCCTTGTGATGTAAAGAACTTAAACGATTTCATATCTTTTAAGAAAAGACTGCACAAATGCTTGATCGGAAATATATTTTGCACTATGAATTAATTTTTTGTTTCCTAAAGTAGCCAATAAATAAGGTATAAAGTATGTAGGTTTAACATTTAAAAAAATGTGACTATACCTATACAATGCTTATTTTCAAGGAAAATAAGGTTTATTATTATAGAAAATTTTAAAAAATCGATGGCATAAATCGCGTACTGCCCTGTCATTAAACAACGTAAGTACTAAAGGCCGATTTACACCGGTAGATTAAGTACACTAACATACTCTTCTGCAAATCACTTTACTAGTTTCGAGATAGAAATCATTCATAGCAAAACTGCAGGAGTTTTATATTGGTAGATTAAGTAGTAGAGTATATTAATATACTTTTCTCTAAATTACTATATTAATTACGTAAGTACTAAAGGCCGATTTACATCGGTACACTAATATACTCTTCTCCAAAACAGTCTACTAGTTTCAGTACAAAAATCATTCATAACAAAACTGCAGGAGATTTAAATTGGTAGATTAAGTAGTAGAGTGTACGAACATACTTTCCTCCAAATTACTCTACTAATTTTGTATGTAAGTACTAAAGGCCGATTTACATCCGTAAGTACTAATGGCCGATTTAAATCGGTAGATTAATATAGTATACTAATGTACCCTTCTCCAAAACACTCTACTAGTTTCAGTACAGAAATCATTCATTACAAAACTGCAGGAGATTTACATTGGTAGATTAAGTAGTAGAGTGTACTAACATACTTTCCTCCAAATTACTCTACTAATTATGTGTGTAAGTACTAAAGGACGATTTACATCCGTAAGTACTAAAGACCGATTTACATCGGTAGATTAATATGGTATACTAATATACCCTTCTCCAAAACACTCTACTAGTTTCAGTACAGAAATCATTCATTACAAAACTGCAGGAGATTTACATTGGTAGATTAAGTAGTAGGGTGTACTAACATACTTTCCTCCAAATTACTATACTAATTAAGTATGTAAGTATTACAGGCATATTACATCGGTAGATTAATTAGTATACTAATATACTTTTCTCCAAATCACTCTACTAGTTTCGGTATGGACTAAAGGCCGATTTACATCGGTAAGTATTAAAGGCCGATTTACATCGGTAGATTAAGTATATTAATATACTCTTCTCCAAATTACTGTACTAGTTTCAGTATGGAAATAATTCATAGCAAAACTAGATGAGATTTACGTTGGTAGACTAAGTAGTAGAGTGTACTAACATACTTTTCTCTAAATTACCTTACTAATTATACAGGGTGGGCCACCAGTAACGCCTCGGTCGCTCGATGTGTAGGTTGATTACGGCTACAATTTAAAAATATTTTGAAATATACAGGAAAAGCGTACCATATCAAAGTTATGTATTTTTAAATGGAACACCCTGTATTTTACTGCATTTTTAAAAGCACCATAAAAAAATAGGTGAAATTTATTAAAGGTTCTGTATACCTAGGACTTGTGAGATATTTCAATTTTAGTGAAAATGCAGGCTTTGCGTAGAAATTTAATATTTGCAATAAAAAAATAATTTTAAGGAAGCAGCTTTGGAGAGTGGATCCTTGATGTTATAAATTATTATATTTGTCGGCACTTAATATTATACAGAGTGTTCAAAAAACTGCTGAATACTTCTCTCACCTTTAAACAGGAATAATTTGGTTATTTTACATGGGACACCCAGTATATTTTTACTTTGGAAGTTAGGAAATTTAAAACTCTTTCGAACTGTGTATAGGTTCCCTATACCTATCTCTAACGGTGTTGGAGATATTTGTGCCGTTTCGTAAACTTACTTGGTAGTTGAAAAATAGTTCTCCAAACTACCATATTAAATTTGGCAAAAAAAAGGCAGTACAGATAAAGTTTAGTAAAGAAGAGTCAAAGGTCAAAGCAAAACAATACGCCATTTTACATTGTATTTATAAGAATTTATTTCATTTATTTATTGTGTATGTTAATTTCACTGGTTTCTGTGACTGTCCATTTAGTTTCTATAACTACCTTCTACACTCGCATATTTGCAGTACTAGAAATTTCATATTTGCTTTTATATTACATTTAACGTTAAACAATGTAAATAACAGTAAAAAAAAACAATAAATATCTCCTCATACAGTTGGTAAAGTACATCAGCTTATTTCGTTTAACTAATATCACGAGTGTCTGTTTACACAAGGCGATGGCTGTTTATTTTTCTTGTAGCACATACCAAATTGTATGGCCCCTGGATGACATAACAAAACGGTAGCCTCAGATTTATGCAGCTTTTAAACAAGCTCATAGGGGCCGTCAAATATTTTCACATGTTTATAATCTTCAAACAATCATTTACATACTTAAACGTCATCGGGAAGGCCTCTAAACAAAATATTATTTTAGATTAGAGGTTCGGGAATTTTCGAAAAGATAAATAAATGACTAAATGCGAGGAAAATCGTCAGTACAAAAATATATTGTCGTGTATACAAAACAGAAAAAAGACCGGGTAACTTCATATTATATTTACAATAGGTATGGAGTAAAATATACATTTTTACGTTTATTTATAGTAATATAATGTTTCGTGTAGCTTTACGATTGTGTTGTATACAGGGTTGGGCAGATGTGTAGGAACACCTGTGTACTAGGTGAACCATATGTTTCATTAGAAAATATCTTTATCAAAAGTTTTTGTAGTATTTTTATTATTTTCAATGATTTACTTTAATTTCCCACTTCATTTTTTAGAGATACGGCGTTGTCGGTAGTTTTTTTAAATGGACCGCCTTGTTTATTTTAACATATTTAGAAAGACAGATTTTCACCGATTACAATAATAAAGAGTTTGATGGGTCTGCGATTTTTTTTAAATGTTGAATAAAACAATAAAATAAAGAGTAAAAATTGTATTTAATGAAAATGAAATCAACTATTCCTGTCAGATGCAGTCAATAGCGACAGATAGTTATAATGATTAATATTGCTGTTCAATCTTCAAGTTATGGATGAAATGTGAAAGAATTTCGTTGTTGATGATGATTGGTTTTGGAGGCAGGAAGAGATCTCTGCACGATGCATGCAATACCTATTTTTAATGCGACTTTCTCTGAAAGAAATTCCCATAAGTATTTCAAAATGAACAGTTTCAACGGTTGTGAAAAACTTTCATGAAACGGGAAATGTGAAAAATTTTACAAAACCCGGCGCACGAAATTCAGCTACAAATGAATATAAGTCACTAGATGTTCTTCTCAATCTACAAGAACAAAAAAATTTAGTGCCTCAAGTAGCCTTATATCACAATATTAGCGAGAGATCCATAAGGAGAATATTGTCCAAAAATAAATTTCATTCATATAAAGTACATTTAGTACAAGAATTAAATGAGGATGGTTCTGATAGAAGGATGCAATTTTGTGAGGAAATGATAAACAACATTGAGAATAATGGAAAGTTTCTCAATAATATACTTTTCTCCGATGAATCGACATTCTGCTCGAACGGTTTTGTAAATCGGCATAACTGTCGTTACAGGAGTTATCAAAATCCACATTGGATAGAAGAAAATCACTCAAATCACACTCAATATCCTCAGAAATTAAATGAATGGATGGGCATAATCAGAGGACACATTATCGGCTCATTCTTTCTTAGAGAAAATTTGAACTATAGTCATTATTAACAACTTTTGCGCGAGCAAATTGTTCCACCATTAATTTATTTTCCAAACCAAGCAAATCCTGAACTACTCTCAAAAGACATTTCATATCAATAAAAATGTAAATAATGTATTTCCACAGAGACGGCTAGGGCGAAGACGATATATTGAATGGCCACCGCGATCGCCAGATTTAAGTCCGTTAGACTATTTCCCTTGGAGTTA